GCTCAAACAGGGGATTGCAAATACTCAAGACAAATATTCATTGCATACCATATAATGATGCCTTGCTGATAGCCAAAGGCTCAAGGCCCTACCTGGAGTCTCCTCCTCTACCTTCAAAGTGAATTATTCAGGGTTTGCTGTGACATGATGTTCATGGTTAAAACAAAAATTATGTAGCTCTTATTTACAATTTTTTTTTTTTTTGTAACAATTGCTTCTGCAGGGGAAAAAAAAAAAAAAAAAAAAAAAAAAAAGAGAAAAAAAAAAAACAAAAACCAAAAGTAAAACTCACAAATCTTCAGAACAAAAAGGGAATAAGATGTCAGACACTCCCATGCGCGCACTCACACCCGCGCACTCACACACAAAATACTTCAGGGGCTTTTACACACATTATTCTGGCTTAAGCTGATTTGAGTATTTCTCCATCCCACCCACTACCCCCTCCCAAAATATATATATAAAAAACCCTCGCCCCAATATACAAAGCATATGCACAATGGTGTTTTGCAGTCACACTGAGCATGCTCGGACCGATGGACCCACTCGGTTTGATTCACCGCGGCTGAAGGGGGCAGGCAGTCTAGAGAGTCATCTCCAATAGTGGTTGATACTGAGTCAGCACATGGTGAGAACTGGACTAGACTTAGAAATATTTGTGGTTTGTTTTTAATATAAAGAGTTCAATGAAAAGACATTCAAAATGCCAGTCATCTACTGAAGTGGGAAGTCTAAAACGAGGATACACGTGATTTGGGGAGGTCTTGAAAGGACACTGTCGTCTTTCAGAGCTCTGAAATTCCTCATAGTACTTTAAAAAAAGTAGTCATCTTGGACAGTAAGAACATAATACTTAGTTTTGCTTCCTAGTTTCATTAGCAAAACTTGTCTTTAAACCTCCCAAAACTGTAGGAAAATATTCAAAGCTCAGGGAAAATTTTCTCTGTGATCATATACAAGTTCCACATATGGATGCGAGTCCCCCAAACTAACATATCCTATATGCCAGCAACTATTTTGTGACAGTGTCCCTTTAAATAGCCATCTGCTTTACATTTTCATACCCTGCCTCCCCCAACAGATGAACCTCCACTTCTCAAATATTAAACTCATGGATCAGTTTGTAGTTTTTAAGAACCATGTGTTCAACAATATGATCTGTTATAAAAATAAACACTTCACAAACAAATTACATAAAGCAAAGCACCAGTTTCTACAGCTCAAAAGCTTCCAGCATGTTACAGTTTACTTCCCTCCCTCCTTAACCTGGGTGCCTCAGTGTCTATTGTACCTTTGTGACCATCACCAGCAGAGGGGAAGAAAAAAAAAAAGAAAAAGAAAAAGAAAAAAAGGAATTGAAGCACATCTTCTGCCACTGCCCTGGTAGCCCATCACCTGTGGATGCAGCTGTGTGGTGGCACTGGAGCTGAGCACGCTCAGAACCGTTACCTGGCATTGGTGAGGTTCCCTAGCAGAAGTCACCCAAGGTGTGTGCTGCTTCTCTCCCCGCACACTCTTCTGCTTTGATGAAGTTAAAACAACAAAGTTAAATAGCTGCTTGGCTGCCCCATTTTTAAGTCTTGCTCTCACCCACAATCCCTTCTGAAACCCGTTTAGCTTGGCATGTCTGGCATTCTCCTGCTGATCAAACAGAAACTGAAGCAAATTATCTTTCGTATGAAATTCCAACTGGAATCACAAATTTTTACTGATCAAGCCTTGTGGCCAGTTAAAGGCAGTACTATTGGCATGGAACTGAAACTGAACGTGGTGGTGGGAATTCAAAGACAGAATGTACAAAAGGATAAATAATGGTAGTTAGTTATGAACTATTCTAAGTGTCAAACCAGGGCAGGGCACTAGATTAACTGAATTTTGGAATAAATCAGTTTACCTCTCTGCAAAGGCTCCAAAACTACAGCTGTGTAACAGAAGACAATCTTTTCAAAGCCTTCTTCTGTAAATGAAACTTTCTGCTCCATGAAGAACTATTCATGCTCCTAAAGAAAGGCATTTTTACAGCTTTCCTTCAAGAAATCAGAATACTTAATACAAATTAAAAAGGACATTTAAAAATATTAAGTCTGCTACTACTAAAAAATGTTGTGTACTAAAAAAAAAAAAGTATTAACCTTCACAATTTTCTTCTATCTGTAAAAATGTAAACTGTTGCATTTCTCACAGAGTAACCAAGAGACTGTTAGGGCTTAGTGTTTGCACAAATCAGCAAAACAGTAAGATATAGAAAAAGTTACAAAATCCCCGAAGTAGTACAGGATTTACATAGTGTTTGGGTTGTGACAAACACAAAAGATAAGCATCAAGCAGCCTGTAACAACCACGAGAGATGAACATATGAGAAAGCAGAACAGTTTTGTAAGATAAAGGGCCCAAATTGCCAGGCAAAAAATAATCCAGTCCAAAACCTGAACTGAGAATAACACAAATGTATTTTTCACAGCCTTAACTTTCATTAACTGTGTTAGGAAAAAACAAACCAACCCAAAAATATATTTTAAGTGGAACTTACAAAATACACTCTTCAGAAAAAATCTGGTCTAGTGGGTAAAGAAACAGCTGTTTGACCAGATCAGCTAGAGGTATTCTACACTGAAGTAACTCTTGTACATTTTAATACCAAAAAAACCTTAGAACCCAATAGACAAGAACACCTTGAAACAGCCTGGACTGAAGGGGAACAACTATGTGGACCAGACATACACAACAGTGTATGCTACCCCCAGATTTCACCCAAATGTTCTTCAAAACCTGGCCATTTATTTTCCCACATTACCCAAGAAGCACTGGACTAGGAGTGGAGGGAATGCAAGAGACTCTGCTCTCCCAGAAATCTAGAAGGTAGGAAGAGGTGTGGGAGAGAAGAGGGGATTGATTACATTTGCTTCTTTTTCAAAGACTGATATTTCACTCCAGCCTTAAACTGTTCTGCAAATTAAACCACTTTTTTTTTAAAAAAAAAAAAAAAAGATTTACAATGGAAACACCGATCATCTTTATTGTAACGGCAACAGTAGTTTCATTAGAGTAAAGAATGTTAGAGAACTTAAAATTTTTATAAGCCAAGGTAAAGTAATTTACCAGCCTCAATAAAATCCATGGCTATGAATCACACAAGACAATTGCTCGGCTGTTATATTAATATTCCATTCCACATTTCAGGCTCCACACTGTGCTCAGTTATCTTCAGGCTCCCTATGCCACAGAGCCAAGTGTCCTTCCTGCTCATATTAGTGTATCACATCTAAAAGCTCTCTAAAATCCAAACAGGATTAAAAAAAAATCTGGTAGCATTTCTGGTGCACCAGAAATCCAACTAATTAGCTGCCTTATGTTACCTTCAAGAGGCTGGTTACAAAAACGTGTGTAGTTCTGTGACAAAAAAAAGAAAGAAAAAAAAAGAAAAAAAAAAAGAAAAAGCTGCAAAGCATGTCAGCTATAAGATAACTGTGAGCAACATACAGAGAGCACAAAGGGGTTAAGAAAAAAAGGAAAGAAAAATGGCAGGTCCAGTTTTCAGTATTTCCACCAACAAACATGGCAGCAACCTCTGTATCAGGGTTTGAAAAATCAAGGTTTGTGTACTTTGATTAAAGTTTAAAAAAAGGATATGGCTGCTTTGATAAAAACACATTAAAATGCCACCACACACATCCCAAGTGTCTTGCATTTAAAGGGACATCCTGCTTTTATTATAAAACTATAGCCCTGCTACTCTGCTTCTAAACTCCACTTCCTCCCAGCTTCATCCTTTAATACTGTTCCCTTTCCAGCACTTCTCAGGCTTAGGGAGCAGAATGATGACCAACAGTTAGAAGCAGACATGTCGATGTGGGAGCAAAGCCTCCCACACTGTGGGATGGAAGGATGACGAGATGGAAGTGGTGCTGGGGTGATGTTCACTATCGATGGAAGTCTGCTGTCCAGCACTGTAGCTGGAGAGGCTGAGAGGTCTGACTACAAAGCCTTTCTGAGGACAGATGGAGGGAGAGAAGAGAAACACTTAAGCGTGACTCATGGGATCCGAGACTGACCAGAGCATTACAGGAATCCTTTGCTTCACATTTATAAAAGGACATCCCTCGCCCCAAAAAGCTAAAGAATTTAGTTTTACACTATCCATTGATTTATTTTTTTTTTCCTCCTTGGAAAAAACTTTCAAGACATTTTCCACAATACCAAATGGAAACCAGAGTTTTAAAAATTGTTTTCAATTTCTCTTCCCTATTCTGCCCATCTATAGCCAACCTTGGAAGAAATAAAAATAAGAGTTAATGGATGTGAGAAGCTTGTAGGTTGGATATCTGAATTGGTACAGAATGAACCACAATTTGCCTAAAGCAGAATAGTACTCTATCCAGCAAAGACAAAAGATCGTGCATCCTAATTAGAGGGTCTTTTCTAAATAAAAAGCAGTGGACCATCCACAAGTCTCTTGATTGCTTTCTGTGAAAAACATGCCTGAACCCAAGAAACACAGGTTTCCTCCCCATGTTTCCTCTTCCTTAATTGGAATTAATATCAACTACATTTTATCAACAAAAGTCTGTTAAAGCATAGGTTCATTTTTTTTTTCCACATATTCAAATACAGAAGAATAGTTTTAAAGAACTCTTACCAGCACTGGGAAATCTATTCTACTTAATGATTTGTAAGTATGGTTTCCACATATCAGTCTCAAACCTTATTGCTTCACAACTGCAGTATCCCTTGAAAAAAATATATATTTAAATGGTCTGTTAATTTGTCTCAAATGGCTTTCAGATTTGGTGGGGGAGGGAGAACGGAATGGCCAACAGAGAACATTGACTTCAAAATATTACTGTATAAGGGTTTCCTCTTATTAAAAAAAGGATACACTGTATTAAACAGCTGAAAGTAAAGACAGCATTCAAAGCCCATGAGTCAAGCCACAGCCAAAACCGTGTTCTACCCCTAAGTATGTTTTCTTTTCCTTTTTCTTTTTTTTTTCTTTTTTTTTTTTTTTTTTTTTTTTAAAACTGCCATTTAATCTTCACCAGAGGGTGCTTCATCTTCAGATCCCTCATCCCCTGACTTCTCTGGCGGAGGGCTGGCTGATTTTTTCTTTTCTGGGGGACTTTCAGGCTCTTCATCCTCTTCTTTAGGGGATGGGGTCTTTTCTTTCGTTGCCTTGGAAGCTGTGGGGCGGCCTGCCTTCCCTTTGCCTTTCACTGGACTGGGGGTCACTGAAAAAAGAAAAAGCTTATAGAAGTTGTGATCAGCAGCAAAGGCAAAAATTAAGTCATATGGTTTTATATAAACAGGATTTACAAGACACTTCAGTAGCAGGTTTCATTTTGCTTTGACTCTAACATACACATGGTGTTTTTTGCACTCTCTATTAGTAAAGTTGAATTGAAAAGTTAGCTAACAAAATTTTAAAACTATTTAATTGCAAGTTCTGACTAATTACTGGGTATGACATAATAAACTAACATAGCTATCCTCTTGTCAAACCAGTACATACGTTGCCATTACGATTTTAGATTTCCTGCAGAAATGCATCAAATTTTCCTGTGGTTCAGATTTCTCCACCTTCCTCCACCCTGAGAACATCACAAAGTCCATAAGTCCCAAACAAAGCCACAAATTATGTTATTTGGCTATGATGATACATATAAAGTTGGTCTGCAGCCTTTCAGCAGGGAAGGTTTTGCAATCTATGCAGTTTTTGCTAACGAGAGAGAGAGATACTGACTCAATCTCTTCATTAAGGAAAAATTAAAGCCACCTAGCAGTTTTTGCTAACGAGAGAGAGAGAGAGAGAGATACTGACTCCATCTCTTCATTAAGGAAAAATTAAAGCCACCTTCACAGTGCTGCTTTAAATCATAGCAAGTGATATGAATTAGTCCTTCAACATTATATGTGAATGCCTAACAGCACCAAGATTTCTACTGAGTCTTCTGTAGCAGAAAAAAAATGCTAGCTGCTAAAGCAAACTGCCTAAGGTTCTCTGCACAGGCTCACCTGTAGCCTTTAGCCTGGGCTTCGGCATTTTCTTTTCTTTCCTCTCTGGCTTGGATTTCTTGGAGACCTTTTTGTTTTTCTTTTTTGAACTGCCATAGTCACTGTCATCATCATCTTCCATGAGGAAGTCTTCATCGCTTCCTGAATCTGCTGAAAGCACAAAGAAATTTAAGTTTTTGGAAAGAAAAAAGAAAAAGAAAGGGAGCAGAAGATCCAGTTGAGAGATCTACCAGTTAAAAATGTAGAAACAGGGAACTAGGATTCTCTGACCTTAGGAGCTTCCACCTATCTACTGGGATAAAGAAATCTGACATAGCTGAAGATTTTACACTGGCAGGGATAAAGAACTAGTATGATGAAACAGACAAGTGTTTTGAGGTCCTCAAAATATGCCCCATCTCCTTAATAAGTAACCCATCTCAAAATAAAGAGAACCTCTTGACAAAGAGAAGTTGAGGGATCTTTTCAATGGTACTCTCACTCCATTCTCAAATCACGTTTGCCCTCAGCATTTCAGGAACTTACTGTGGTTCATTACCAGCTGAATCCATCTCCTATGAAACAAACTGTCCTGTTTTGATCACTTAAGGACAAAGTACTTTTACACCACCTGAAAGCAGCATCAATGCCTCAGAACTAATGGGATAGCAAGAAGGAGCAGAAAGCATTAAGAACTTTACAATAATGCTTTAGGGCTGCTTATAAAAACCTAGACCTTCACTGCAGACTTGGAACAAAAATTCTAGGTGTCAGAAATGTAAGCGTGGTCTGCTGGTGAGATGTGCAACACAAGACAACTTATGTCTTCACTGTCAGTCAAAAAGCAAACTGTACTCCTTTTGCTCTCTGGCCAGACCAGTAAACTTGTGTTTGGTATCATACCCATGTCACATTGATTGTAATTTTTTACAGTCCCATGTACTCACTCTCCTGGAACTGTGCCTCATCATCCTCTTGTTCTTCCTCCTCACTACCAACATCATCCATAAGCATCTCTCGTTGTTTAGAAGCCGCTTTGGATGCTGCTTGTCGTTGCTGACGCACATTTTTGTGGTCTTCTTTCTCATCCTCACTGTCCTCTGCAGCAAAAGTCACCAAGTTATAATGAAGATACAGAATACAGACCACCTAACGGTCTTCAAGTAACATGTGGGCAAGACAAAGGTCAAGTCATTAATGAGAAATTCAGTGAGTGCCTTGATTAACTAACTGAGCTGTGAGGAGAACACAGGTCACATTCAACCTAATAAGCAGGTTTCTGTAGTCACCCAACAATGATCCTGGGCAGGTTCTTTCACTGCAAAGACTAGCAACCTTTTATTATTTTTTTTTCTTTTTACCTGCAGGCCTTTTCCTGGATTTGGAGGCTGCTCTCTTATTCTTTTCTGGTTTAGCCTTTTTTCCTTTTTTGCTTTTTTGAGAGCTCTCATAATCACTGTCAGCTTTGCCATCATCTGCTCCTAAGTCATCATCTTCACTACCAAAATCTTCATCTGGAAGGAAAAGGTACGAATGTGAAGTTTCTTGTATTATTCTGAAATATAGACAAGAACTACGGGGAACAGATTAACATATATCTAACTACCTGTCAAGACAAACTTTGTATCTGCATCATATATAGAAAAAAAACAATAAATCTGTTATCCCAAACCAGGGCTGGAAGTAACAGCAGCAGAGGCAGCACCCAGCTTAAGATAAGTGTATTAGAAAAGTGCAGGCTTCTCTAGTCAGAACATTTCTTTCCTGTGTCAAATCCTACTCCTGTAACTCTTACAAACTGTTTTTTACCTTGAAGATACACTATCAGTACAATGTAGTTAAGTTACCTGCCGAGTGTGAATCATCTTTCTTAGTCTTCACATCTTTTTCTTCTGAATCTTCACTGAAAAGGACAGAAAGACAGGGTTTGACAGCTGTTTTAACTCAGATTTCAGTCACTGCTGTACAGAAAATATCAGAGAGCAAACTGATCTTTAGACTGGGAATATGCAACTTTTCCTGTTGCACTTCAGGATTCCTCAGCTGTACAAGTAGTTATCATGGTTGGAAAGATACTGTTCTAACTCTGAATCACATACGAACTGACAGACAGTCAAGTGAACCAACCAGGAAATAACAAGGTTGAGATGAACCATGCACTTCACTCTGAAACCTGTCAATAATGCAGATGTCTTCCATTTCACAGTCAGAATTTTCAAGTTTTATATGATAAGGCAACGGTTGAGTCTAAAACTGGAAAAAAGTTTTATTCTGAATAGATTTATAGTCATCACTTTGTTATTGTTTTCTTTGGACTCCTTCATTCTACGTACATTGTGTACACCAGTTAACTGGCACACACTTGGTCTACAATCTCTCAACCGATCTGATCTCTGATGGACTTTCATTGTTCCCTTCTAGTGGTTTTAAGCCTCAGAGTGTATTTCTGTGAAGGAGGTACCAACATTCTGCTCTTATCCAAACCCCCATCATTAGTCATTACCACTGTCCAGAGAGGGTTTTCCTTCCAGCATGTAAGAACATGCACCCCAATCAGAGAATAAACAAGTGTTTTAAGCAGAACTGGTGTTGAGAGCCACTGATGTACAACATATGCTTCAGGAACAGCTCAAGTGCAGAGTTTGCCAAGGTCAAGAAACACCACAGATCAAACCTTTGTTATCTTCAAATTTAGCAGTTGGAGCTGACACACAGTGTGGCTCAAGAATTCTAATAGTTCAGATAACTTGCCACATTACAGCCCCTCAGGCCTGTTTATTTTCAGTCTTATACAGACAACTGAGGATTTCAGTCACTTAAACACGAGTTTGTTTCACATGCAAGCCCTCTGTGACACACACAGAAGTGTTCTTACATACTTAATAAAGTCCCTAAAGCTAACAGAACATTGAGGTCAACTATTGAGTTGCTTTGGGAGCTGCCTAGCCCCATTTCTTTATATGCCATACCCATTAAATCTTTTATTTCAGGTGTTACAGGCATTTGCAAGGGTGAAAATAGCCTCTCCCTCTCGGTTCACAGTAGCAGGTGGACCATGCAAATATTCCCATTTGCATTCAGCCTTCACCTTCTAGAACAGGAGCATGATGGGGAAGCCTCTTAAGCCTACCTGCTGGCACGTCACCTATACTCCAGCAAACAGTGCAACAGAATAGAGACACCTTGGGCTTAAGAACCAGCTGGCAGAACCTCCATCCCTGAAGTTGATGTCTGTCATGAAAGCAGTCAACTGAGTTAATAGGTCTTATGGCAATCATTTGCTGACCATAGTTATTGGGGAAAGGAAGATACCTTCACTCTACAGGACAGCCTTTCACTGTTCACAGGGGCATCACTTAGAACTCAGTCCTGGAGCAACTCAGTTATCAAAACAAGTTACTTTGTTTTTGAAACAGACAAAACAGGAAGCGGGGAAATAAAGAACCACAAAACAAACAAACAGTCCCTACTCTAACTGCCACTGTACCCTCCTGTTTAATCTTTAACCACAGGAATGCTCTGAGTGTACACACACACAAAAAAAAACCCCATGGAAAATGAAATGCACCTTGCCACTAACTTACCTGGTTGCCAAGTTTTGTACCTCGGATCATACTCCTTCCCATTCCAACTGTCTAGCACTGTAAAGCCATGTGAATAATGAAGTGCTAGTGACAAGCACTTCACACATGATTTCTCTGCCTACTTGAATAAGAAAAAAACACCTCAGTGTCCCAGCTGGTTACACAAGCTTTGTGGCTCTGTATCTTACACTGCAGATCCTGACTTCTACTTACAATCATTCCTCTTAGAAGATACTGCTCCCCACATACAGGACAAGGTTTGGAGACATGTTCTTAACAGGTGAAGTGCTTCTTTTACCTGTCCTCCTGAGAGTTCTTCCCAGATCGCCTCTTATTTTTAGCCTCCCGGGGAGATGAACGGATTTTCTTGGATGGGGGACCTGAATCTCTTCCATAATCTTCATCTGGACGGGACAGTACAAAATGGTTTTGAATCAAACTCCTAGTTCCCAGCAAAATGACTTCCTCAGCTATAACTTAAACTGATCATTTCATGCACATCAAAAAGAAGCCCCTTCAAAAAAAAAAAAACAACAAATCACAAAGCTTCAAACAAAACTTTATAGAAGCAAAGTCCTGTCTTCAACTAGTGATTTACCTTTTCTTCTGCCAACAGCACGATAGAAATTCTGTGTACAATCAAGTCTGACACCAGAGTATCAGGAAACATACAAAAAGCCTTACAAGAGGACACAGTATCTAATCAGAAACAGTTATTATGTAAAAGTTAACATCCATATATATTTCTACATGCTTTTAACAGCAAATACTTTATTTACTGTCCTACGAAGTGAAAAAATATGTTGCTACATAGTAGTTCACAGCGTAACTTTTTACAACTATTACACAATTCCTTATACAATATGAGTAACAGGCCTGCAATTAAGAACTATGCATATTTGTTTCCATTAATTATCAGTCCAACCTCACTTAGCAAACAGTAGCAGAATGTCTATTTTCTAAGAACACAAAACATATTCCATATGGCTTCCAGAAACATTTTGTTAATTCACACAGAACATACAAAGATCTTTAATTTTTTTTTTAGTTGCAATTCACAAAAATGCCTGACTTTATGGGATTAACTACAGTCCACTAAAATAAATATAAAACATATTTTACTGTAGAAAAAAGTGGGATCAGGGAGATTCTGCCACAGAACATAACATAGACCCAAGGAAGAAGAGAGTTGCTGCCAACAGCCTCAAGGCACTACAACAATACAAGCATTAAATAATAAGATTTCTATCACCATTGTTTGTTTAATACAAAACATATGAGAATCATTATATTTTCAGATACTTATTAACAGTTCAGACTGTGAAAAGCAAGAACTCCTTAGAATTTAAGTTAAAGATGTGACTAGAAGCAAAGCAATTAATATACAAAGCAGTGAGTGAACTGTTCTAGCCCAGGAATATTATATTGTTAAGAAAAAAAGTCATTTACCAGCATCATCTGATTCCTGAAACTGGGAGTAATCGACCACCTTCCTGTTCCTGTTAAAAAGCAGAGGGAAGAGGAAAAAATTAGCAATTCATGATCTCAGAGATACAAAAGCTTTCTTCAAGTAACAAGAAAGTTCCATATCCTTGCTTCTAGCGCAAGATCTGTAGCCCAAAAACATCCCAAGAAAACTCTCATAAATAATCCACCTATACCTCTGAAGTCAGAAATTGAACACACTGTGTATCCCAGCATTTTCCTAAGGAACCATTATAACAGACTGGATTATCATATCAGAATTTGAAAATGCTTTTTGACAGGTAACACATTCTTATGGTTCATGATTGCAGTGAGGAAGAGCCATCTTAACCTACGCTACATGGGTCATATATATTTATATACATATATATTTATATATATAAAGCGCCGATCACCATATTGATAAACATCCTTTGGAACCACTCTGACAGTGGTTATTATTATTATTATTATATATTCCATTATTATTAAAACTGCACATCCATCATGATTACAAGTACACGAGTACAGGCGCTGTTTTAAAGCAGGATCTGCACCCCAAGATTAAAGATGCATTTACAGAACCCATCAGTGTGAGCTTTAGGCCAGAGCTCCCCCTGACACCCTGTCCCCAAGCTGTGACATTTACGACTGGGATCCCAGGTATAAAACAAGTACACAAATATTACTGTGAATTAGATCAACATTTCCTAACTGCTCTTTTCTGAGCTTCAGCTGCTCACAGCTCGATGTGATCACGCTTGCTCTCATACCCTCCCCTCGAGATTTTTGTTTTTCCCACGTGTTCCCTGTTTCTAAAGCATTTCAAGTTTTTACCAGGGGCTTCTAGGAGCTTTCTCAATTAGTTACTTTGATGCTCTAACGAGATGCAAGAGAGCTGTGACAATTGTGTCACTAGGCACAACAAGGGGAGAAGATAAGTGTTTAACCCAACCTATGCTTTTGGGCAGCAAATGAGCATGAACTCAGACTTTCTTGACCACATCAGCACCTTCTCTGCTCTCTAACCGAGGTGAAAGTAGCACAGGTAACGAGGTGTCATTAACAGTGTAAATACAACTGCCAGCTCTAAACAAAATCAGTGAACTACACAAACAGCTACTGCTGAAATCAACTGCCTCACTGGTCAACAAAATTCCATCTGTTTCTCTAACTTGCCAAAACCTAAAAACCAAGATGTAAGTAGCTGCTGGCTACTTCCTCAGCACCTGTCCCAACTACTTCAGTGACCAGACATAACTGCCCTGTAATACAGCTGCTCAAGGAACCACAACAGCTACCTAATGGAATTACATTTGAGTTCTAGCTGGTAACGCCCCAGTCAGACCCAGACTCCACACATGTGAACTCACTTTTACAGCCAGAAAAGTCAGGCAAGCTGCAGATTCAGTGATGTACCCAGCATCAGAGACTTGGGGACCGCTGCAGAGAGAAGCCAACACAAGCTCCATGCAGCACACGAACCACAACACCCTTCCCCTCTCCTGCACTGCAGAGCACGACGTGAGTTTCACAGGCAGTTCCCATAACTGAACTGGGCTTTGTGACTAACATCCTGCACTGCTGATAAGATGTGGAGGAAAGACACATCTCTCTTTAATTGAAAGACACATCTTTCTTTAACTGAAAGACACCCCAAAAGCCACTGTTGCATTCTGGCTGTTGATCCATTTGAAATCAGTTATAAGTCACTTTCCTCTACAAGTACCTCTATTCATTTCATGGTTTATAGCAGCAGCTTTCAAAAGATGAAGCAGCATAATTATTGTAGTTCAACCCTACACCAAGTCTCTTAAATGTAAAAAAAAAAAAACCAAACCTAAACAACAAAAAAATAACCCCCAACTCCTCAATAAAAAAGCAAACAAAAGGAAGGCAAGGCCAGTCGTTAGATTTCTACAGGCTGAATCACATCCAAGCTTCGGAGTATGCGTGAGTGGAACAAAGTACAACAGCAACATGCCACAGAGCACTAATTGCTCACTCACAGGCTGAATATCCTAAAACACCAATTTAGGAATACAATTATTGGCGAGGTTCGTTACGGTGTACCGCCCAGGAACTCAGATTCCTGTTCCAACAGGTAGTCTTCCTGAAAGATTGCCTCCTGACCTATCTCACACGTGAAAACACCAATTTCATTCTGGTAAGCATCTGCAGAACAATAGTTATTTAGTAAGATGTTTGATTTGGTATAAGTATCAGGTATTAGGGTTTTTTCCCCTCTAAAAGTGTAAACAAGGTGGGGGGGGGGGGGAAGACAGATTAAATGGTTACTGAGATTTTTTTACTATTATTATTTTAACTACAGTTTTTAGCCAATATAACCATCAGACTAAGCATTTGTGAAAAAGTTACAGACCTTTCTTCCCCTGGAAGGCTTGGTGCAGGTTTGGCACCAACAGAGTGGTCAGTTTCACTTTCTGGTTCTCATTCCAGTTGGTAAAGGTGTCCCACTTTTGAGGTCAACATATTATCAATAAATATTGCCATTAAAAACACCCCTTTGGTGCCTTTTTTTATACATAGATGAGGAAAAAAAAGATAGATAGGAAATGTTTCTTATAGGTATTTTCAAAGTTGTGCAAAACAAACAGGCAGTGCTAGACTGAGGCTTCAAATGAACAGACATTCACTTAAAATTATGCATCAGGAGTTGAAACATGGAAGCCTAGTGACAGTTATGGACCTAAAACACGTCACTATGGTGTTAGTCTATTAAAAAATTGGCACAACTGTACTCAAACAAGACTCACCGACTAGAGGTTCCCAATTACAGAGGTCATTGTTTGGGTCTGGACTTGGTGTAACTCCAAACGTCTGTAAGACTAGGCACTGCTCATGGTATCTGCAGAATTTTTAGGGATACACATGACTTGAAACTCCATAAAACAATTAAATGATTTATGCAGCAACAGTTTAAGCAGTCTTGTGCCCATCCTCCATTTGAGCCTAACTACAACTGAGAAGATTTAAAAATACAATATAGAAATGTTCTGATGCAGAGCAAGGGGTGGAAAAAACAAACCCCAACACACACAAACACACACACACAAAATCAATTCTGCAGCCTGCGTTGTTCCTGGTGTTTTGATTTTTATTGTACCTCTACCTTGCTCTCTGTTTCTCTTTAGACTGGAAGTTTTCAGAACAAGGATCATATCTTTGTATTTATCTGGAAAGCATCTGTAGCTTATCTCTGGACACTACCACACATTATTAGTCAAGTTAAATGCCAGTCCCCAAGGAGGTGTTGCTTTCCTGCTACTCCATGGAAGTTTTCCAGGATAACAACATTCACACCTTACATTGCCCAGGTACAACACTGGCAACAAGTTGAATTATATAGAATAGATAAATATGGGTTTTTTCTGCAAGTAAAATTTCCAAAGGACCACCCTTGCACTGCAATGCCAATGCAAGACCAGGATTCAAGAGTTACTAATAAGGACAAATTAAGTAGGTAAAGCCCTGAAGCACTGAGACAGATCAATTCATAACTGGCTTTAATCTTGAAATGAATAAACAAAAAACCCCTGTGATTTCCACACTTGCCCACGCTGTTTCATTTTGCAATGCCTGCAGGACAGGAGTACCAGCAAGTGAAAGTGACCAGCAAGGAAAAGCAGAAGCAAGCTCCATCAAATGGAAACTCACAATTCTTCCTTAAGACACATTAATTGATGCTGTACATAAAGAGAGCGGCTCAAAATGATTTATTTTTTATTTCATTTGCATTCAAGAGTAGATGGGGACATAATAACACCACCAGCAGCTCAAAGGGTCTTTGCAGTACTTCAGAAGAGTCAGCCACAAGATGCAGAGCCTCAGTAACTGCAGGTTCCTTTATTTTTCACTTCTTGCCATTCTCTAACAATAGTGCAGACACCATCACTATCCACCCAGGGGAAGTTAAATTGTGTAGAGAGCACTTGGCTCTGAGCACCTGTAAATACCAGGACTTTATTACTACTTCTTAACAATTTTAAAGCAACTGATTTCAACAACCAGATCCAGTCTTAAGGCAGTCTTCTACTGACATGTGGAAGAGAAACTGGGGATATATGTTGTATTTTTATTAAGTTCATTGTTTTAGGTGCTTATATATTCACTAGAAACTAGCAGAGACAATAAATTAATTCCAAGACCACTGAATAGAGGAAAACTTTTCCAACACTAAATCTTACTCTGATGAGGAACCTTTCACCAGACTTCCATATTCCTATTACTATTCCATATTACTATTATTACTTCCATATTCCATATTACTATTCTTCCATATTACTACTTCCAATAAGCTATGGTATCCAGAAAAAAAAAAATACCCAGTTTTCAAGTTTTGGATTTAAATCTATGACGAGATTTCTCCAGTCACTACCGAGCAGAGCCACGCGGTACGAGCCACTGAGTATTTACAGCTCGTCCCCTGACAGGGTTGTTAAGTACAAACAGACAGCAGATTGCTAGATCCATTCCTGACACGGGCCAAAAGGTTTTCTACTGTTAACAGCCCGCTGGACTTTGGCACTTAATTTTCCTGCAGACCAGTAGCTGTCAATGGGCAGTAAAACCAGTCAGGTCTTTCCCAACGCTGCAGGATTTTACAGATTTATTTTAAAATACTTGTTAGAAACGGTTGCTTCCAAAGTTACTTTACACCAGAAATCTTAGAAGCTGTACTTTTAAAGGTACAACACTTTCCTCACCTGTAGCAAGACTCCAGTGCTGGCAAGAAAATCACCAGCAGAAGGGATAGTGAAGTGTCACCCTGAGCAGCACAGTCACATCGCGGCTGCGTTTCAGAACACAGACACTGTCATTCAAGATCAGACCACTAGTCCATCGAGTCCAACCTCCCGCCTCCCAAAAGGCCAAAGCCTGATGCTCCACAGCAGGGTGGATCCAGTCCTCTTAATCCACCTTTTGGACTCAAGACAATTCTCTAAGACTGCAACTTCCAGCTTTATCTGCCTTTATATTTGTATGCAGGAATACACTACTGGTTAAAAAAAAAACCCAAACAAACAATAAAACCCCAACTGTTTCACTAATCACTGTGCCAAACCTCCCTGTTCAGCAAAATAGTCCTACTTTCCATTTATTTTTAAAAAATCTGATGTATTAGAGATATTACTTAAATACAAAGACTACCACCTATAAATTTATATAGGTAAGTTTTAAAGCCGCAATTAATTTCATATTTATTATGACAAAAGACCTCGGATCCACACCCAGGAATAAAAGTACAACCAGTTACTTCAAGTATCTTGAGAAGGAAGAAAATTACAGAGCATTCAAAGAATACCTTATGAAACCTCTTAGCTTTTCTATAAAGACAATTTAAATTACAGGTGCACTCTCTGAGTACTTTCCAGAGAAAAGTAAAAAAGAACACACTCCTCCCTGCTCGGGAACTTTCAGATACATGGCAAGTTCTCTATGCAGTAGGTTTTCAAAGTTATCACGACTCCACAAGGTAGTTAAGATTCCCCTGCAGCTCCACACTCCAGGTCAAACACTGTTTAACTCAAGACACCAACACCACGACCTACCTCCTTCACTGCTGGGGAGAATACAGCCCGTTTAACTAAATGGCCCACGGTTTCCTCCTCCCCACGACCTAAAATCAGCCCTCTCGAGGGAATGAGGGGAAACACCAGTAAGAAACCGACCCGGGCAGAGCAATTCGCTACCGGGCGAGAGGAAAAGGGCGTGTGTTCAGTGCAGAGGGGGCGGCTCCTCCGAACTCCTCCCCTAAACGTGGTTTAACTTGTACGCACAGCCCCTCTCCTCCAGACCCTCGCTGCTCACGGCGTTTTGCCTGCGTGTCCCCTCCCCCAGGCAGCGTGGTCTGCTCTGCTCCCCCCTTTCCCCCCCCTTTCTCTCCAGGAAGGGGGTGCGGGGGGCTGCGACAGAGGCCGGCGGGGCCAACACCCCCTCTGGCCAGCC